AGCTGCACGCTACACCACTCCTCTTCTTCTCTGTCTCTGCTCCATTGTGGGTGACTAGACTGTGGACAACCACTAGCCACTCCCCTGTCACCCATCATGCCTTGTGGGTGGGTGTTTGGGACAGGGTGGTATTCTGGGATGTATCCATGTGTGTACAGAAAAGGAGGTGGGTTTGGAAGGGGGTGGGTTTGTTATTGTCACAGGGCGAATTCCAGGTGGCAAATTCCAGGCATGCTTGTGCGGCAGGATCAGTAACCAAAGGGCTGCACATTCCGCCCCGCTTGCACCCCCCCCCCCCGGTCGGGCCGGGCAACCCCATTAATTGTGTCCGACAGAGGGAATTGGTTTCAATTGACCCTCATTCAGCGGCCCTTTGACTGGCACACAAAGGACACAGCCACGTGGAGACTAATGCTAGGGCTGAGCAGCCTGGAGGTGGTCCACTCCTCGCTCCTCTCCCATGGGTGTGATCAGGCTTTGGCTTGATCACGCTTTGCATCGGTGCTGATAAAACGGGAAAGCGGCAAGGAATGGTTTTGAAGATTTTGTTTGGAGAATCAGATACTTCACCGCCTGCAATTTCTTTTATTCCCCCATGGAGCAGTCACGTTTGAAGCAGCTTCGCATTACAGATGCAGAGCAGACTGTCAGACCTGTTGCAGTAAAACCACCTGAGTTTTCAGGGAGAGCACAGATTAGTGGCGGCAAATCTTATTCTAATGAAGATGAAAGAAGGCGGGGAGCATTACAGGATTGGTGTGGGATGGAATGTTAAACATACATTTAAAGGGTTGCTGTTATTGATCTCAAGCATGCATGTTAATCCATTTCCTTCCATTTAAATGTATGCCTATATCAAGATAAATACACTTCTAACATCCTTCTTCTTAGCCACTTCCGTTATGTCAGACTAGTCGTGGAGTCGACTACAGATTTTTAACATCAATATGATTCAATAAAATTCATCCCTTCTCAGTAATAACATTTGTACACATTAACACTGTCAGTGCTCTGTGGAGACTGACTCTACAGTACTCTAGTCTGTAACTGCCAAAATAATAATCAGCTTTAATAACTTTTTCCCATAACCACAAGATACATTTGATTTTTCCTTTTTTTATATCAATTAGTTATTAATTTACAGACACACAATTTTCAACTATTTTCATAAGCGATTTACAGTATTTTTTTGGTGCATAAATGTCAGAAAATGCCATTTTAAGACTCTCAAATATGACATTTTTATATTATATACAAGTGACTATATTTGGGGATTGGACTGACAAAATAATACATTTTTAAGACATTATCTTGAACTTTGAGAAACTGTGATTCTTGTTTACTATTGAATTACATTATAGACATACAAATGTATCAATTCATCTGGATAATAATCTTCAAAATAATTGACAGAGATGATTATTTAGCTGGATAAGGATAGGAATTATTTTCGAAATAGGTAGTAATGGTCGGAAATCCGGTACAAATCTTACTATAGAAACCCACTATCAGCCCACAGCTGAGCGCTGACCCGTCATGGTGCCGGGTCACGTAAACCTTGTTGACCTGCTCACATCTACAGCAAACACAGCTTTTTATCCATGCTTCACTCAGAGGGTGCTATGAGGTGTGTGTGTGTGTGTGTGTGTGTGTGTGTGTGTGTGTGTGTGTGTGTGTGTGTGTGTGTGTGTGTGGCGCGCAGGCAGCCGTGAATCAGCGGTGTCGATGACAGGCTCAGGGCTCCGTGCCTGGACTCCTAGTATATTTAAAATCCCTCCTAATTAAACTTAATAGAATGTAAATTTAATATCTGCAAAGATTGTGTGCTGCTGGCCGGCCCGCTCCAATTTAAGGATTGATGGAGGCCAGTGGGAAGGTTAATTGCTGACTTGATCTACTGTCCCTGTGACATGGTGTGGGGCTGTTTTAATTGGGGCTGATCTGCTGCTACATGGACAGATTTCATTAGGCTAGCTGGCCTCTCTTTGACTGAAGAGCGGCTCTGAGCGGCGCCCCCTGTCTGCGTCTGCAGGACGTGCAGGGGGCCGGCCCAGGCATCAATCTTCCTCCCTTTGTCCTGTGTCCTTTCTCTCGCTTGAGCAGCATGAAATTAAAGGTGGGGCCCTAGACTATCCCCACTCCTAATGAATGCTGTAAAATGCTCAGTAATGACAGGCCAGCATGATAGATCAGTCATTTCTCACACTGCAGAGTTACTCAACGCACACGCCCATGACAACACAGATAGAACTATAAGCAAGCCATTTTCCCCTGTGGAAGATGTATGGAAGACAAAGTCAACCATAAATGCCATCTTTGGTTTGTTGCAGCATGTATGATCAACAAATTAACTGTAAGAAATACAAAATATATTTTTCCATACAAATTAGGCTGTTTAAAATTGTTTTAGGCCATTAAAAAAAATAAAAGTCAATTTTTTTTTTTTGTTCCCATAATTGCTGCCACTACTGGAATAATTTATTCGCAGTTCGACATTAATGATCTAAATAAAATAATAATAATAATCCAGTCTAAAAAGTGTTAAATAGTCAAAGAAGAATTTAGGTGACTTACTATCTCAGAGCGCCATACATTGCTTGCATTTGACTAATCTAAGATGTACACTGTAGTTGTCACATTTGGATTAGTGGAGGACACTCTAAATATATCGTCAATGCATGTCACCTGCAGTCTCTGTGTTCTCCCTCTCAACATGGGATCATTACACCGTTGATGGCCATTGTCCCGGCTGCTGAACCTCGTCTGGGTAAATAATTTGCACCAGTAAAGGGTAAACAATTTTCCCTTTTTAGCCCGACTTTGACTAGCATGCGTGTATCTGGCCAGCTATAAATCAAAAGGCGGCCAGTGTAATTAAGTGTACACTACATTAGTCTGGCTAATTAATTTTAGGGGCCATCCATCCATTAACCAGCGGGCCAGCACTGATTGGGCCTCTGTTCCTGGAGACCCCTGACACTGGGGACTGTGACCCTCCTTGGCTGCCCTCAGCTTCCCTCATAAACTCATGCATTAACACCCAGAGTCACAGATGTACACACACACCAGCCCTCATGTACTCAATCAGATTTTGACTAAAAAGAGAAGCTTATTAAAATACATTTGACAGTTTTTAACTCATAATTCTTCAGGACAGTGTTTAAATATCCTTCCTATTCCTTATAATTTATTGTCAAACAATTAGCAATTACTTAAATTTCCAAGAGAGGGCACACTGAGGGTTGTGACGCACAGATTTATCCAACATAAAATCTGTATGGAAAGACATTTGCGTTGTTGACAGCCTTCGCTACTTTCAGCAATGGCAGTGGAAAATGTTCATATGTTGTTTTGCATCAAACATCCATGTCTAAAAATAAAAGTGAAAGGAAAAGTGTATTATTATACCATCTCTCAAAAAGATCAGCTTCGAGAACTACAGTATATATATTGAATAACATTTAACGGAAGTGAAAGATAGCCCTGTTTCAGTTTTTAATCACTTTGATATGGACATTTAAATACATTTATCTTTCTTTTGCTAAGGTTATTCGTTTTTAACGATATTGTAGTATTATTAGTTCGTTAACAGATGCTCAGAATACAATTTTTTGTTTTTAAATAAATTATAGGTAAAACACAAAAAAAAAACTATTAAGTAAAATAAAAATAATACTTTAAAAAAAGGAATATTTTTAAAAGCATTCTGTTTTTCAGTTGTGTATAGTATCAAAAAGCCTTTTGAAGCAGACATTTTTCAACAACATATTCCAGCAAATGTCATAAATGTGTACAGCTTAATGTGTGTGCTCATTCAAAGACGGTGTTATCTCATGCGGAAAATCCCAGATACAATTAAATAAACGTTTGTTTCCATAGAATGAAATGTGAATAAAATAAACAACAAAACGTACACATTAGGCAATTAGTTATTTTAAAACTCTGTATCAGTGTTGGCCCAGAATGTCCCAATCCTTTGTGTAGGACTGTTTTATTGCTGGGTCAAATCTAATGACAAATCCTTCCATTATTTGTTTTAGCTTACACAACCAATACACTTTTCTAAGACAGCCCAGTTGACAGGCAGTAAGCCCCACCCATTTACCACACACCTTGCAAGTTAAATCAGACGTATTATTACACCTGTACTATTTGACCCCCGCCTGTTTATAGCCACACAGGTGACGCCTGTAATGGAGATGTTTCCTCACTATACAATAGAGGCATATTATCTGGCTAGAAGAGTCCAATCTATCACAATGAGGGCCCATTATATCACAGATAACCCATCTGGATATAGAGGGAGATTATTCCCTGCAGACAGCAGAGCCTATTCTCTGCTCTGTGTTTGCTCCATGCTAATGAACGCTGGAGGAAAAAGAGTTGAGCTATGAGGGCGTCACTTGAGCGATGCAGCTTTGATGGGAGTGCTGTCCATATCATTAAAACGCTGGCAAATGAAGAACAAGCAGTGGCTTCTGTTGGTGCTGCTCATTAACAACAGGCCGTTTGAGCCCGGCGCCAGCCATGCTACTACCATTGTGTACTCGGAGGCTGGTGGGGGGGGGGGCACTGTGACTGGCAGCTGGGAACACCATGCCAATGGTGGGATGGCGTGACAAACCAAGCCAAGGATGAGCGCAGAGCCTGGCACTGTCAGGGCCCGGAGGGGGGGGCGCGTCGCCTCGAAGGCCCCTGGGGTTGGCCCCGGTCAGAGATGTAACCCCAGTTGGCCCTCACCGCTGTCTGCTGTCGCTGCGTCTCTCAGAAGACTGTAGAGGAAGAGTGTGTTTGACATAAACAACTTGATATACCCAAAAAAGATTTCAGCAATGCATCGAGTGCACATGGAATCCAAAAAGTGAGCTCCTCTAGGGGTTTGAATAGTCTGTATTTTAAAATCCGATTCCGATTATTGAGGTAAATGTTTTTTATATTTGACAAAATATATATCAACTGATTGTGTTGGCTGATGTTAACACACAAAGGCAAACCCAAGACAAACATGTCATGTTCATTAACATTTCATGTTAAACTTGCACAGATGCAAACTTTTCACCAAAGAGTTTTTATTATTTATTTCAAATGTTAAGTGAGTTCAAAATCATCAAGTTCAAGTTATACACCAAATACCAAATACTGCCTCTTGCATAAATAAGGATAGCTGTCTTTTATTTTTCTAAAATGTTCACATTTCTCAGAAACTTCAATTTAAAAAATGTGTTTTGTCCTGTGCTGTGTTAAAACCTCTTAACCTCTTATTTCTTCTTTATCCAAAAATATCTCTCAGGACTGTAAAGCTCATTAGGTTTAAATTTCATTCAGCCTCACCTTTTACTTTTCCTGCATAAATCGATGAAATGTTTGATCTTTAAAATGTCCATAACAATTATACAAGAGCCTTGTAAAGGGTCTTTCAATGGTTTTTTTGTCCAAAAGTAAATCAAATTGAAACATGCTTTGTCTTAGAAAACCAGCAAATATTCGTAATTTTGAAGGGGGTTAAAAAGTAACAAATTACTCATCAAAAGGTTTTAGAATAAGTTTATTTTTGATCTAAAATCATTTTTAAGTTGTCTATAAAATAATTGAAAAAAACCTGAAAATATGTTGAGTTTCTTTCAAGTTACTCTAACTGGTTCTGTAAAGTATGTACACTTTAATCCTGTAACATGATGCATCCTTGAATGTCCGTGAGCCATGTATCCGTCTAAGGATACCATACAGTTCTTTAGTCATGTAAGAAAGAGTTTTATGTGACATAAAATATTTACAGTTCATAAAACAGAGATACGTCTCTTTGCATTTCAAAGTAACGATGATGCTTGTAACGATTATGCAAACAATCAAAATTTAATTATTCAATAATCCAATCAGTCTTTAAATTCAAGTGGACTCAATACTCAATCTGTGTCTTTTTTTATTTAATCCACCCCCCAATGTAATTTATCTATAAATCATGAATAATCAACTTTCAGTCCGTCCCAGTATTTCTTATCTCTGTTTTATTGATGCTTTGTCTGCTGCTGCTCACTATTGACCCCTGCCTTTGAAATCACTGGCAGAAACCGCAGCGGCTAACAGTGATGCTATTATTGAGTCCAGATGAAATGTGGCATAAACTGTGAAGGATAGGGGTGTCTTTGTGCCTGGTACACAGTGTCCATCGGTATGATGTCAGTCTATTTTTGACTAATGCAGTCCTTAGCCTTTGTAGAACACAGCACAATCTTTTTTTTTTTTTCTCTATTTAAAGGATGGAGCGGTTCCCAGGATAACACATGTTGTCTCTGGGGGGCACTCACAGCGTCTCCATTGCCTTTTCCAGCATTTTAATCATTATCGTTTGCTCTAATGCATATGCAAATCAGCAGTCTGTGTGAGAACTGAGGTCGCTGCACATGGCTGAATTCAAAGCCTCCTCAACAAGTTGGTCACAGTCACGGTTATTCAAAGTATTCAAATCAGGCAATACCTCCGTTTATGGTGTTTGTATGTTGGCTCATTCCATTGCGGAACTAGGCCATCGGTGCATTCACGTTTATCTGATTGGTCCCATTTCACGAGTTGGAAGTCGCTCTTCTGAAATTGTTGGACTGAAGCTAAAAAGAAGATGTGTTGTATTTCTCAGAGAGTTCCAAAATGTGCCAAGCTGTTTCTGAGTTGTTCCAACTGACCTGATGTTGCCAATGTTTCTGAAGCCTGCAGCACAAACGCCCTACGTTGCAACTTTATATCCTTGTGATTTGGATCCGCTCAAAAGTAGAATTGGCTCTTTCTTGGCCAACACTACACCCCTTCACCAAGTTTCATGAAAATCAAATCAAATAACTAATTATATATCTTCAGTTTTTCTTCTGACACACAAATAAAGCTAAAAACAATACCTCAGATAATTGAGAAAAAACAACAGATGATCAAATGTTTTGCTGTGGTTGAGGAAGCTATAGAGGTACTTCGATAATTGAAAGCACTCAGCATACAGGCTTCCCAGTGTGAATCTCTACTGTCAGCAGCATAGTGATGCTGCTGCTGCAGAATGGCTCTTTGTAACAGAGCTGTAAACCCACTGTTGGCACCATGGGCTTTTAAACAACTCTGCCCTCTGACATTAAAAGTGGCTGGGCTCCATTCACATCCGCGCTCAAATATCCCATCATATTTAAGAGGACCCATTAAGGGCCACATTGAGAATTCATGGGCCTTTCTCTCACTCCCCCTTGTGTGATTTATCTGTGACTGCCATATTGCGAGGCCCTTTCAGAAGGAGTGCCTCCACTTTTTGTCTTAGAGGAGGCCCAAGACAATGCATTTCAGGCCCATTTCTCCGACAGGGCCTCCTCTTTCAGGGGGCAGAGGAGCCGGGGCCGGCCTAACATCTGTTTGTGTCCAGAGCCAGGCGGGCCCGGAGCACAGCGTGCCTCGGTGGCCCCCTTCTCCTCTCCCTGGGGTCTTTGTTCCCGATTTCATGCTATCAGAGCGGCAGCATGTTTTCCTGCGCAGAGCTGTCAGGGGCATAAAAGGCCCTGAGTGGGGTCACATCAAGAGGGATGGGCATGAAAAATTGGTAAAATGTATCACAAAGCCCACCCACTAAATGGTTGCCTAGCACCCTGTGGTGGGGTGTCAGGATCCCTCCTCCCCCCCCCTGTACCTTCCTCTTTCCCCTTCCCTTGGCTGAATTACACCTCTCTCTCTCACCCTGGCGGACAAGCACATCATTTAGATGAAATGGTGCAAACAAATTAAAGGGTGGTGCTTCAAATGAATCAATGTTATTTGTGTGGGAGGAGGGGTTTGTGCCTCACCGGGGCCTTCTCCTCCCAGTGTGCCCTGGAAGCAGGATGGCCGGTCACCTGCCTGCCTGAAAAAGTCATCAACGGCTATTGTAGCTCAACTGTTGCTCCAAAAGAGAAAATAAATGAAGGGATAGTGAGGGGTGTGTATCCTATGGTATTTCATGACTTGATGCATGATTCTGGATTTAGAAGTTCAATTCAGGATCTACTAGTCTATTGTGAGCTAATAAAAGCAATGTGGCAAATTATGCTCTGAAGGCAAGGTATAAGTCTCAGTGTGCATAAGATTTTGGACTTTAAAGTTAGTTTGGAGTTAAATTAACTGATTACAATTACAAAACAAAAGCAAACCTAATAGAAAGTTAACATTTAATCAATACTCTTTTCTACTCTAAGGCAAGCTTCCTTTTTTGATTAGATTTATTTTGGTACATTTCTAAAATAATTGTGCACAAAATAATATTTTATTTTGTACTGATATTGTTGAACAAATCACACAAAAATGCTTGACACAACTGACATGTTGTGTTGGGTTGCTGTCCATCAGTCACATTATCTAGCTCTCTTTGAGGAGGTTGTGATCAATTCAGAATCTTAATAGATAAGTATATCGACTCAGTCATGACTCCATTTTTCCCCCACCCTAAGTATAACACTTTTCTAGAATTGTCCCTGGTAAAATCAGTGTTCATTTATTGGATCTTGGTCACACTAAGTTGCATATTTGCTGTCTTGTTAATAGTGCTAACCAAGCTCCAGCTCTCTTTAAAGGGTACGGAATTAGACTTTCATTAATTGTTAGATCTCTATCGAATTCCAGAGTAATGAACTCGACAGACCCTGCGATCCTATTGGACCATCACTAATCACCAATCACTGATTGGGTCTTCAATATTCTGTAATTGACTCAGCAACGACAAATTACCTCACTGTCTGTTTCCTTTAATTGATTCCAGCTAGAGCGGCGGTGGAATAGGTAAATTAAATGAGTGCAATGTTTCCAGGTGCTTAGTAAGTGTTTATACTGTATCAATAGCTCTTCAGTTGGCCATCTTTAAATGCGCCATAATGATTGGATGGTTGGATGTGAATTTGTTTCCTCATTTACACGATAAATGCTTTTTAAACGTATGAGGCGTTAGGGTTAGTAAGAGCCTATACTGTATCAATAGCTCTTTTAATGGCCATGTTTAAGTGTGATACAATGATTTTCCTATGTTTGAATATGAATGTGTGTCCTCATTAACACCATACAGATATGGGTTTAGGTATAAGGCAGTAAGGTTTGAATCATTACATGTTAATACTTTATCAATGGCTCTTTTGTTGGCCATGTTTAAATTTGTTATAATAATTAAACCCTTGTTGGATGTATAATGTATTCCTCATTAACAGGATACATGTGCTTTTTAGGTATAAAGCATTAGAGTTAGTGTTAGTAAATGTTTATACTGTATCAGGGTTAGGGTCGAGTGCATGGCTCTTCTGTTGCCTTTTCCTTTAAATCTACTACAATGATAGCTTCACAGTTGTGTGTATATTTGTTTCCTCATTAACAAAATAAACGTGCTTTTTGAGTCTGAGCATGAAAGAGAAAACATGAATGGCCGTGAAACGTCTGGTCTGCAGCCACCTTTTTGAAAACAAAACAACTGCTGCTAAAAAAATCAAATGAATAACACATTAGGATAGCTATTGAGCATTTTAAGCATGCATGGCCTTATTGAGAGTTTAGGAGTAGCCGCTATGTTAAACAGTCTTGCGGACATCTGCTGCGGTTGGTTTCAAACTGCTGACTAAAAGTGGCAGGGGAGGTTTCTCAGATTAAATCTCTCATTAGGTTTTCTTTGTACAGGTGGCAGTAATGTGTCAAGAGCCGGGCCTGAGACAATGTCCTCCTCTTAGTGGGACTAATACGCCTCAGAAGACCCACCCTCCTTTTACTGCCACTACTTTAACACAGAGACACGGTCACAATGAAGCATCTGGTGGCCTTTTCCTGTGTAGAAGGCTTTTTTCCATAGCCATTGTGTCTGCTAGTGATCGTGTGTTAGAGAAAGAGATCAGCAGGCTTAGTACATTCATTTCTGTGAATCCACTTCTCTTGAACTTTTCTGCCTGTTTGTTTGAATCTTCACGTAAAATGTAGGAGATGATTTTAGAACATTTGCTCTCCAGCTCTCAATATGAGTTTGGGTGGGTGGGCAAGGGCT